AGTGGTATCACGTGCTATTATCAAGTGGTACATTAATCAGTCTGGAAGCTAGACAATTATTCAAATTAGGGTTTTCTAACTACTCATGTCTTCACAATAATCCAGAATATTGGTTAAAAATACACATTTCTAAATTCCTCTCCTTAAAGAGCTGGGGTGGGGCCCATAATTCTATAATATTTTAAGCATCTCAGATAAATTATTAGGATTGGGCAGTCTTGGAAAATCTTGCTCCTGAATAAATTTCCTGAAATTTTGATGGAGACATGAAGTTGTTATTTTGACAAGTTTTCCATGGCATACAGGAGGTTTATCATCTGTATCTGGTAGTATATGAAATTTAAAATCTACATGACATTTTTTTATTTTACATATTTCATTCAAGTATAAGATGAATAACAGGTAGTAAAAATGTTCACGTGTTTTTATTTTGTTTTAATTTATGTTATTCAAAGCTCACCTGACATAATACTTCTCTCTATCTGCAGATAGATGAACTTTTGGATGCCCCACTTCAATCCCAGTTCCAACAGGAGGAACAACTCCCTCCTCCTATTGGCTCTTGTATTCTCAATCTTATCTATAAGCTTCTACTTCTTGCTTAACTTCTTCCTACATTTTTCAGAGCCTATTCCTCCTGATGGGGTCCTCCTATTTCCAATTGTAAATGGGGCTAGAGCAATTGAACGAAAAGGACATTGAATGTCCGTCCTTCTACTTTGGGCAGTGTGTCTCAATCAATCCCAATGCACACTTGGAATCACCTGGGAGATAAGTAGGCCTTTCACACCTCCCAGCCCCAGTCAAGGGGAACTGCTGTGACTAGGACACAGATGTCAGCACCTTTTAATAAGAGTGATATCTCCAGCTCATGGGTGAGGGAACTGAAAGTTGAAACAGACTGTTTCCTCCAAATTATATGAAAACTAAGTGATGCATTTAGGGTACCAGGATAGCCCTCCGTATTCCCAATCCTCTTTTTGTCCCTGTATCTCTTTAAAATACGAACAAAATTTTATCCATTTTAACTCCATTTGATATTCCAGTAAAATCTCCCTCTTATCATTATACATATATACAGGTAAGAGACAGAGTCAGACATATATACCTGAGAGATAGTGAGTTTTAACCTGTCCTAAGAAAAGAATATTTTGTCCTAAATACTTTGGATTATCTCTTAAGTCAAAAAGGACTTTTAAAGGACAAAAATAATCTATAGGTATCCCTTTATATTGTGCTACTATTCTTTCTCCCCTTCTGCAAGGAAATCTCAGTAAAGAACAGCTTACACCTGATTACTCATTTCATTCAGTCGTTACTCCCTTGTACCCAGATATTTACCTTCTTAAAGGTTACCAGCAATCTCTTAAATAGCAAATCCCCTCTTAAGAAAATATGTGTGGAGTGCCTAATATTTACTTGGCAGCGGGGATAAACATCCAATTAATATCTCACACTCTCTTCCAAGAAGAAAAACAAAGATAGAGGCCAATGATATCATATGTGATGGTGTTTTAGGAACAAAGTGGAGACACACCCATTCAAGGAAGTTTCTTCAGGTGATTTGATGTCTAAGCTGTCTTGTTTTACAAATAGAACTTAGCTGGTTGAGGAAGGGTAAAGGCAGTCAGAGCATAAAATGAAAAAGTGATATAACTAGAATACATGTAATGATGTTCTTCACAAAGAATAAAGGCATGAAACATTGTGACGAATTTACTAAGCTACAAATGGTGCTATACTCATAGAACTGATAAAATGTATTTGGGATTGAATATTTCTAGGGATAGTGAAGACTATGCTCATTTTCATTTGCTAAGGATTTGGAATTTTGACAATATAAATTTAGCTCCCAGTCTCTATTTCCTTGTGGGAAAATTTGGAATGTTATTACCTCTCTGTGGCTTTATGAGGACTGAACATAATGTGTTTTTTGCCCACAGAGACTGGCACTTAGAACATGCCCACACAATATTGTCCATAAATAGTTGTGTCATTACATAGTAATTGTGGAAGTAGTGTTTGAATTTATTTAAGAAATTTAGGAAAGAAACAGGGAGGTCTTGGCAGGCAAAAGTGATTAATTAAGTCTATTTAAGTAGTAATAGGAGATTTATGGCGGATATGGAGAAAGAATTTGAAACTACATAAGAATAGGGTTTGTGAATTTCAGAATATAGATTTTAAGAAAAAGTATGTCAACAATTCATGAATCATTGTGATAAAGAAAAAATAAATATTTTTTTTAAAAAAAACAATACAACAACTTATAATGTACTTGTAATTTTAATCAAAAATAAGCATTTATAATTCTTTAAGTTAAGCATATTTTACATAATCAAAATTTAACATTACACTAATCACTCCATAATGCTGCTCCTTAGTATTGTGAAATTGATCCTGTTTAGAAAGTACTTTTTTAAACATAGAAATATTGATACCATATTCTGCTTCTTGCCAGGATCAATTACATGCCCATCACACTGTTGACAGCTGGAAGAAAACATGTACAATTATTATTTTATTCTAAATTGTCTTCCTAAATGTCAACAGTGACATTGTCAATGACCTTATAATCCCTAATAGAATTACTACTTTGCAATTCACAGGCCCGCTATACTAAAGTCATTCAAACTTCAGGAAATCTGACAACTGAATAACATAATTGTCTTGTTTATCTAATTATTCATTAAGTCATTACTTAAAACATACGGAAAGCCTCTGTATAGTTTCAGAGCAGTTTACTGTACTGAGGTCATATCCAAATACTGCTCACCATTACACAGTGTTCTCAAGGCAGCTAGAAAGATTGTGCTCTATCACCTTCCTATCGACTTGATAACAATAGGTATAGAGAAATCAGAATTAGGTCAGACCTCTCCTAAATCATATGTCATTGGAAATTTATATAATGGCTATTTCAGTGGAGTATCGAATATGTGGAGATCTTTCACTGAGTTGAGTAGATACTTGGAGGAGAGAAATTATGTATAGTCAGCTTATACAAGTATTTTAAAGGATAGTACTCTGCAGAGTAACAGAAAAGAGATGGTTACAGAAAATGTGAACGGGGTCAGAGGAAGTACTTCAGAAGTAGTAGATTTTAAGTCATGTCAGGTAATGCAAATAACCTAGCAGTTGAAACATAGAAAATGTATCCATGAGAAGACCAGAGATGTGGGTCCCCAAATTATAACTGGAGTGGATGGATATACCCAGAAACAGGAACACTTCTCTGGACTTGGGATGTAAGAATGTATGGTACTGATGCAGGCATGTTAGTGAAATTGGTTTTTAGAGGCTTAGAGTTTTTAAATCAGATATGTCTTTTGTTTGTGAAATGTGCAAAGAAATCACAGTTCAGAGTGAGAAGAGATGGATGTGTTGAAGATTTGAGAAAAGCAGGAGAGCTGTGAATTTTCATCACTGAAGGTGGTAAAAGTGAATTTATTTGGGATCTATAGTCTGATGTGATTACATTGAGCTACGATTTGAAAACATGGTCATAAATCCGAACTGAGTCCAGAGCACATAATTGTGTTACTTTCAATAGGAACACACTGCTGCTTAAATGCAGCCACAGATTCAATGACAGATTCAATGACAGATTGCTTTAATCAGGACTGAGTTCTTTACCTGAATTTGAAGGAGATGGTAGGACAAAGAGTGAACTCTATGTGAACAGAGTAACAGTGATGAACAATGAAATCCCATCAGGATGACAAGTAAAGTGACATTAGAGAACTAATAGAGAAAGAAAGAGAAACACGGTCTTTAGCATAATGATGTGGAATAAATTAATAAATATCTAAGTATTTTGGATTAAGTTGGATAATAGAGAATATGATATTTGGACACTAGATTTTTGAAGTGTTATGATTATTGATGATGTTACAGTCTTGGGTGTGACCATAGGGATGGGTGTCTGGAATAGGAAGAAGGACAAAAGAGCAAGAACATAGGAGTTAAAAGAATGATCAGCCATGATAAAAGTTGATAATTTCTGTGAAGGTTAAATATGGTATAAGATGCCAGGAAGTATTATAGGATAAAAACCCCGGAAGCCAAGAATTAAAGTCACTGAAGGATTAGGGGATGATAATAAAAATAGGTAAGGATTGTTAAAATCTAATTATATACACCCCAAAGGGCAATAATTTGTAAAGGAGGAAAGAGATGTACACTGTGCAAGGAAGAATTGTAGAAAAGGTAAGTCACTTAGTGCCAGCCTCAGCTTTGACAGAGTGTTTGTGCTTAAATTCCACGGTGGTGTTCTTCAGGGACATTTCCATTAGTGCACAAAAGTGAAAACAATAATGTGGTAGGAGAGCAATGAGGAGATACATGTAGGCCCTGTAGATGCATTTAACTTAGACTGAGTGGTAGAACTGGAGAAGATGACAGGTATGAGAAATGCAAAAGAGAAAGGAATACTGGCCCAAGTGGAAGAAAACTTTGTGAAAGTGTTGGCATTTGTTCACCATGCTTCATGCCAAGACTATGCAACCTTTTCCCACTCTTCCCCATCTATAAACACACACCAATTATTCACCATATCTCCAGTGCTCATTCTTTTACAAAGTCTTCTCTTACTGGTCTACCTCACAAGGACCTTGCTGTTCTCTGAATTCGTATGGAGCTGATTAGATGCACTGTGCATGTTAAGAAAAATTAAAAAAAAAAAAAACTACCATATATTATTCCCTACAATTTTTTACTTATATCTCTACCCAGCTGGTTTATGGGTTCTTGAAGAGCAAAAGCCATATTTTATGCTTCCTTAGATTCTCCCAAGTAATCAGAAGAGTGGCCTATGATAGTTAAGTGTTGCATAAATGCCTATTGAATTAATATTATGGATTAGAATAATATATATGCTAATGACCTTGGTATTAAATGGAAAATACCTCTCCAAAGACATTGAATCAAATATGGTTTTACATAAAAATTAATCATGTAATTCAACAAAACATTGCTGTTTGCAATTTAATTTAACCTACCTTTTTTCATCCTTCAAAAGGGAGAAAACATAGTGAAGGAAATTTGAAAGCCATTTCACCAATACACCATCAATATAGATTTCTCTTGCTATATAATTTCATTCGTCACTGTCACCAATGTCAAGCACTTAAAATAGAATGTTAGCTCTTTCTTAATTTTCACTTCCACACTCAACTGAAGTGCATACAATCTCCCATTTTGATTTATGAGTTACCACTTATGACAGTTTATTTGCAAATGCTTTATTGTCTGGACACCATGAAAAATGCAAGAATAACTTCTAGTATCTCTGACATGAGTTCTCTTTTTCCTTACCTGATGATTTCCAGGCAGCAAGTTTGGTTTTGAGTTTGGTTTGGGAACACTACTCAAAGAGTTTCCATGCCTACAAAAAGTGTTAAAGAAATTTTTGAAATATTTATTGAATCTTTAATGCAAGTGATATATTTTAGTGGTTATGTACATAAATAATAAATGATGCAATGGTTTCTTTTATAAATCAATAGGTAAGCCAACACTACATAATGCTATATTTAAATAGACTATAAAGTATCTCTTAATAGCCTCCTAGACATTATAAATCAGAATCACTTATGTTCTTAAGATTAATAGAAGTGTTTATTATTAATAATCTCAGATACTATCTCTTCTAAATAAAGTAATGGATCTCGATGCTGTTCTAAGTAAAAGTTTATATATTTCATTTGGTTTCTTGAAACATGATATTTGTTCTCATCCCTGGGACACTTATGCCTCTTATCATTAAATGACTTGAAAACAGTATTAATCCAATTCAATGGCAGCAGAAAACTCATACTAGGTCATAATGAGCATTTGTAAATGCAATTCTGCTCTCTAGTATGCCTCTATAATTGAAATAATATTAGGTAGTCAATAAATATTGATGAATTAAGCTTGGGCTACTTAAAAAAATTGACAAAGAATTTAAGGGTTAAATGTAACTTTTTAAAATGTCAATCAAAATCTTATATTTCTAAATTTCATCTCTATTGAAGTATTTAGGACCAGTTTATAAAGCCTAAAATTTCTTTCTTTAAAACATCAAATCTGCTTTTACCTTGGTACCTGCCCTGGATCCTTGGCAGTGAGACTTGGTTGATGCTGCTGATGTTTGTGACAATGAGGAAATAATCTTGAACAGGCAGGAACACTGAAGTTAAAGGAGGTTGGGTAGGGGACAGGGAAGACATTTACAAAATGAAACCAATGTGCTTATTTTTTTTATCAAATGTAGTTACCTGCTTTAATCTTACTAGCATTGAGCTTCCCAGTTAACCGTTCCCAGGCAAAAAAATAAATAAATAAAATTTAATCTATTAAATATATGCCAGTTAATAAGAATTTCTTTTGAATTTTAAAATGAATATAGTATACTTAATTTTACAAGGATAAATAAATTAGTTTTATAATTTTATCCTTCATTTTAATAAAACTTTCATAAAAATAATTATTTGGGAATTGGGTGGTATCCTCAAAACTGAGAAAATAGCTTTTTAGATGTTAAAAATATTTCAGAATAACATTTCTACATTTAGGGGGGGACTATGGGATATATATGACATTAGATATCAGGGGAGAAGTTTCTAGTTTGATAGATACTGTATTTTAGCACTTCGATTTCTGTCATGCTTGGTTGTAGCACATCTACAAGACCCCTCCATGATAAGCTAGTTTTAAGACCAGGAATTTCTCATAGTGAAGAAGTGGAAATAAAAATAAAAACACTGATTATGCCTTCTTAATTCACTAACTGCTTGTTTTTTAAAATAATAAATTATTTATTCAGGCAGTTGATACTACCATTACAAATCCACATAATATTCTAAGGTATATGTCACCTTCAAAACAGAAATTTAAATTCACTGAACTATCTCCGCTTCATATAAAGGTCACAACCTCTTTATGGTCCTTCCTAAACTTTTACTTTCAGGCTAACCCATATTACCTTGTGGAATCTACACTCCATCCTCCAGGATAAGAACCAACCTTACTAGTAACTAACATTACTTTCTAACATGAGTAAAACTGTAGAGTTAATATTAACCTATTCATGTTCCATTTCTATCCTTCTCAAAAGAAAAATAAATCACTTTAAAATACATTTTGTGCCTTTTATATTTTTCCATTGGCTCTTTAAAAGCCAGCTTCAGTAGCACTTTGTCCATGAAAATTTCTTACCGAATCCTTCCAGGTGAGTTAGGTATATTGCAGAAACATGTTTAAATCCTAATTAGACCCCTATCACTTTCCTTTATAATCTAATGTAACTATTCATTTTCCTGTGTCCTTTCTACCAGAGATGGTGCTCCTTGAGGGCAGGTATTATCTGTTATCATCTCTGTATTCTGACCACCTGTCACAATATCTAAACCATAAGAACTTAGGTAATAAGTTTTAAATGAATTTGATCCTCCTATAGTTACTATTGCAATCCTTTATCTTACAATTCTTTATCTTTTGAGGACCTCTATCTATCCTTAGGTAGGTAAATATCGTTTATACATATGTACCAACTAAATTTTATGTATTTTTTGTAGTATCTTTCAAAATTTCATTTCTTTTTCCTTTTTTTGTTGCGTTTGTTTGTTTTTTTAATGCTTGTATCATTGGATTGATCACTTAGAGAAAGAGCATTAGCTTTTGAACCAAAACATCCTGAATCTAATCTAAAACAGAAGTACTATTCTCTCCAGCTTTGTTGCGATTATCAGCAAAGATAACATTTACCAAGCACTAAAAGTAATAGGTGAATTTATCTCAACCTTTTCTTTCCACTTTCATCCTGGTCTTTTAAAGCCATTCTTGATGTGTTTTATGATATTCAAACAAATTCAAATGGAAGCAAAACTAAAATCTTACTCTTTGAAGAGGCACCATGCACCAGCATAGAGGCACGCCATAAAAAGAGCTCCTGTTAGAGTTAATACTGCAGGAAACCAGTTATCAGGGCTCCAGTAATATGAAATCTTCTTCAAGACAGAAGTAGTAATCTGAGTAATACAGGAAATGTTTACTAAACATTAACAATGCCATTGACAAAAAATATATAGTGTACTCTGAGTTTTTTCATATATCACTGTTTACTCTTTATTAATAAAATAAGATTTTCATATAAAAATTGAAAATATTTCACTTGATATTTATTTGAAAAATTAAAAATCCACATACAGTAAAATACAAGGAGTATCAAACTAACTCCTCTTTCTACACTAAAGACAAACAAACAGTTCTCTTTAGAAATAAATATCTTTGTTCGTAATATTGGATCTGGCCAGAACCCTCTTTCCTGCCTTTCCCTCGTGGTGAGCATTTGTTCCATATCAGTGTCATCCTCTGCCTTTGCTTTTGCAAGAACCTTAACTTTGGGGGTAGAATTGCCTTACCCACTCTCTTTCCTCCTATTTCTACTGTAACATCTAGAATATTTTACCATATTTATTAGTTTTAATTCTGAATTTTCCTACTGAGAAGTAAACTATTAAAGAAGGACCATTTCTCTGCAGCTCTTGGCACAGAAAAGACATTAAGGGAGTGTTGGCTAAATGACAGGTAGAATGAATCAGCAAGATGTTTACAGGGTGAAGTATTATTTTAAAAATTAGTCAGATCACTGTTTCCCTTTTCTGCTTCCTATCATAAAAGCACAAAAAGGCTCTTTTTCCTAGGTGAATCCCCCGCATCATCTCAGGGGGAACCACTTAAGAAGCTAGTAATTAACACAAAGCTCGCTATAGATTTTAACTTGGCGTCCTTCACTAAGGAGTATGTTCCCAGCAGATGGCAGCATAAGATAGGATAAATTCTGTGAACACATGCATCACATGTGCCATTGCTTAAGGTAACTTAAGTCAGGAGACTGGCTTCACAGAAATGAAAAATAAATAAGTAAATGAAATTAAAAGGTGTGGGGAACAGACCTTTCCAAAAAGGATTAACAGTGGTGGTAGCAGAAATAGTACTATTTACATGATTCAATGAGAAGAATCCTGATCACTTTCTTGATTGCTGTAGTTGTAGAGATTAAGTATTGTATGACTAAACATTCTATTTACAGTACAATGGTAGGGGCGTGCCTAGACAAGAAAGATCAAGAAACCAGACTAGTCTCCCACAATGTTTGTTGAAATACTGTACTTTAATTTTCCTGAGTAAATAATACTCTATTGCATTTCCACATAATAAAAAAAAAAATGAAAAGGATGACAGACAACCTGATTACCACCTAATCACCTAGCTCTGTTTTCAGCTCCTTAAGAAATAATACCCCTACCAAGTGCAAGAGGGAAGAATACTATTACTAATATAAGGAAAGAGACTACAATGTGTACCAGTGTTTCTTCCAAAAATATTTACTGAACACCTACTATATTCCAAGAATTGCTTAATAGAGTATAGAGCCTTACAACTCCAAAGGGTAGAGTTGGCATGCATTATTACCCACCATGTGCCAGGATTTGTCCAAGTCTTTAAGCTATTTCTGTTTCCCTTAATACCCATTCTGAAAGAGAGGTGTTTGCCACCAGCAGTTTACAAAGGAGAAATGAAGGCCCAGAGAGGCTTGGTGTGTTACCTGGAGTTCTACAGCTCCAAGGGGCAGAAATGATGTTCACATATAGATTTGTATATCTTCAAGCACCAGGTTCTTTCCAGCTTTCTATGCTACCTTCTCCCCAAACTGAGGATATTGTGAGAGTTTTTTTGTAATGTTTTGAACAATCAATTAAAAAAAAGAAAAGAAAAAATCAAATCTGTATCAAAGGGTTGAGGTACTGTTCTGTAAATCACCATAGTTTTCATATAAAAGTCATCATATAAGTTTTTGTCCAAGAGAATTCAGCTCCATAGAGCCAATTAAAGGCACTGGAAAATTGCTTAGAAGCTGGATGAAAGAATCATCCTCACTTGTACTTTGCTTGTCTGATAAACAAGGCTATATTTTCCTGTTTCTCTATTATTCCCCATCTTTTTCTCATGTACTTACACAAAACATATCTAAAGCTTTTATTATAAAAGGAACATTTTTTTAACATTTCAAAGCCTAAGACAAGTGGGGATATTACTTTGTTGCTGCAATAATATAAAAAGAGCAAAACCTTTCTGCAGGGATTAAATATAATATTAATGGATTATATTTACATAACATGTTTATTACAAGAGCTTTCATATCTCTTGTTTCATTTGATCTCTATAACGTCTTTTGTACAATAGATACAGCTATTCTAATCTCTCTAGTAATCATATACACTGAATAAATATTTAAACGTGTTTTATGTGCAGGCTTGGTGCTCGAAAGCTCTCTCTCTCTCTGTACACCCTTTCAATCAGTGATTCAAAACAATTTGAAAAAACTGAATTTGGGGATTAGCATTTCATACACTTGATGTTTCCATAGCTTATTATTCCCTTATGTTTTAATTGCTTTTAAGCTCTTTGGAGCCCCCAGAGGATAATAATCATAAGGACAAAGGCATTTGTTCTTTGTTACTTCTTGTAGTTCAACCTGACTGGACTTGCTGCCTCTGGTCTTTTTTTCTCTATTTAATCCTTGACTCTGCTGGTCTACTTTCGGTTCCGAAACTATCTAAATTGGCTATGTATTATTTATAAAATGAAGCCCAAAGTCCATGGCATTGACTCTGGGTCCTTGTCAATCTACCTAATCTACTTACCTAATCTATTTTTCTGGCCCTGCATCTGGCCACCCTGCTTTATGGACTCTAGACACACTTGGTTGTTCATCTTTGTGGATTATCCATATGATCTCACATCTGTGCCTCCATTTCCATCATTTATAAATATCTTTGCTTTTTATTCTGTTCATCAAAGGCCTACATCAAATTCAAGTATCCTTTTCTTAGACTTTCTCTTATTATTCTTCAAGCCAGATTTTGCTACACTGTCTGGCCTACATCTGTTTACTCCACCTTTACAGCACTGGTCAAAATGACTTGCAATTTCATTCATTGGATATAAATTTCTATACTTACTATGGCTTATAAATCTTTTCAGGATATGACCCCTTTATTCATCACTTCATCTCACTCTTTTTCTCCCAACTCATCAAACTGGTCAGAGGATTCCTCAAATCTGAAGCATTTCTCTTGTCTCTTTCACAGTCTCTTTGGTTCTACTAAGTCTGCAAGCTTGAGAAAATTATTTAAATTCCTGAACTCTCAGTTCTCTCTTTCACAGCATAGCAAAAAATAGTTAAGACTTTGAATTTGATTAAATCAAGTGATGGGTTTATTTAATGTAGAAATTTTATGTATGGATGGGCTTACACACAAATTTCATAATTAGGAAATTTTGTTCAAATATTAATTTTATTATTTTCTCCTAAGGAAAAACTATTTAAATTCATTTTAATTATATCCTAAACCTTCTGAACGTCATTTTTAGATCATGTGTATGTTATTGTACAAATTGCACCTTTTCCCCCGTTGTAAATATGCTATTAAATTCAGGCTGAAACTTTTTTTTCTGTTGCTTGCAGGTTTGCCCAAACAGACAGTACAAAGATACTTACACACTTTGATGATTGAGCAGTTACTCCTCTCCTTTAGGATCATGAGGAGTGATGAAATAAATGGCTAAGGATTTTGATGGGACACTGGAGTTTGTATGTCATCAGACATTTATCTCACCATTAGGTAAATCACCAGTGAAAACAAAAGAATTTCCCGTCTGTCATTTGGTCACGCACTAAGCTCCTTACAGCTGTGTGCAGTTAATTTTGTTTGATTCATAACCTTAATTACTTAACTAGTTATATTTTACAGAAAAGACAATAATGATAATCTTCCCTGTCATGACAGCTTTCGTCAGTGGATATTAGAGTCACAGCAGATGTGCAAGGCTATAACCTAATAGAACACAATTTATGTTATTTCTACTGACATTCCAATTATTTCATTTAACTCTCACTGAAGATTTTCTTTAAAAGATTGTCAATAAGAAGTTCCAATTCATTTATGTATTTAACTTCAAGTTAAATATAGACCAGACTTCTATAAGAAATGTTAAGTGCTTTTTAGTAATAAAACACTGATAACTTAAGCAGAAATGCTAGTTTTGCCAACTTACTAAAAATTATGATTTAAAATTAATAAATATTGTAAAATAAGCTTTAGAAAAAAATTAGTAATATAAAGAAAACAGGCCATATTTCCCCCCCCTCAGTGCAGACTATGCAGGAGAACCAGAGGTTTTGTGACTATCTCAGCAATCACTTAAGCCTGAATAGTTTTAAACAATAGATTACTGTCTTCAATCAATGAATTAACATTTATACAACAATTAATACAATACTAGTAAGGATTAATGGCCTTCTTTATTGGGCATTTAACTAAGAGGGCTTATGAAATAGCTGTTAATAATTGGAAATGGAGGCTCAAGCGTGGTGATGGCTCAGCACAGGTTTACAGTTATGAACTGGGAGAGCTGGGATTTGAGCCAGGACCCACTTCATTCTCATGGCCAATCCCTGCTATACTACTTGGGACTTGAGATTATCTACTCTCAAATGTAAAAACTAGTTCAACAGAGTCTGCATGAAATGAGACTGTTACCATTTCTTTCATTTCAAACTTTGGGTTGAAAACATTATTTCCATTTAATAAAGAGGTTTGGTGATACCGTGAATGAAAAAAATATGATAAAAGTTTTAGAAATTAATGTCTAAAGTGTTTCGTGAGCATTGTTACTATATCAAAAAAAGGTCAACTGCTTTACTTTTTTTGAACTCTGATATTACGCCTAAAACTTATTATTTACTTTCACATCCTAGATCCTAATTCAATTAATATGTCATCAAATGAAAATAATACACAAAAAAGAAAAAAGAATATGGAAAATTATTTTAAAATATAAAGACAAAAGTTTAAAATAATTTATTGTCCAACTATCATTTTTCTACAATGGCAGAACAATTAGCAAAAAGACATTACACAATAAAGGAAAATAAAATGATCTAAAATAATTTTTTAAATCT